GAAGAATCTATCTATATACTACTAAAGCATTGAGATTGTTTGTTTGTTTGCTTATTTTCTCAGTCAAAAAATCATTCACAGTACCATTTGCGCTCTTTACGAAACTTCTTACTTCACTTTTTTGAAAAATGAAATGGTCTTTCCTTTTACTCCCGATCAACAATTAGATATATTTTCTTGAATTATGAATAATACGAATGGATTGAAATATTTAATTAAATTATCTCAAAATAAACCTTCATTTCGATGCAATATTGAAATTAGCTTGAATTCTTCATAGCCTATGAATAGTGGTTGACCTAACGGGTCACGGTGGTCTAATGTTTACTAAAAGCTAGCTAAATGCCATGAAGGTACACTTAGTAAATACAAAATTATAATAAATATTATTATTTATATCAACACAGCTACAGAGTTTGTTACACTGGAGCAACACAAAATTTAGTGTTAAAGATTACTTTTCATATGTGTTGGTGTAAACGGATTCCTAAAATTCCTTTGCTTATTTTGCAATATGTAAGCTTTGGAATGGTTACTAGATGCTATATGCAAGAAGTATGATATTATTTTCAGTTACCAGGAAGCATTATTGAAAGTGAATTGATAGAAATTACAGAATGTTTCTACAGAGAACTGCACAAGTAAAACTTACCAGTTGAGAAGACTTTTGTGTTTGTCTGCTGTAATATCAGTTCTTGTTGTTTGTTATTGATTCATCCAATGTGATCCTTATATTTCAGAACACTTTGGTCAAAGTGAAAACTGAGCCACCTGGTGAGTTATGAGAAGATGAGTCTGTTTTAGAGTTCAGTGAGAGTGATGATGATCTAGATAGTTCTAAAGATGAAATTTTGAGAATGGAAAAAGAAAATGAATTTCAAGAGAGTTGCATCAACTGGACTTTTATGTTAGAATATACATTTGGTAAGTAGAGATATCAACACAAAAACATTGTTCAAGAACACATATTTAAAAAAGAGATGTTTTTTCATTTAATTAACCATTTAAGAATTTCAGAATCAGGAAACATCATCTGCTGGACACAGAACTAACTCTAAGGTAGAAAGATTGTTTGTTGGTTCTTCTACCAAAGTTTCTTTTAATAAATGCTCCCAACTATATCTTCAGAGAAAACTATATCTGATTGATGGGATTACCTTGGTTACAAAAATATTATATATGGATTTTAGGTTTAGTGGTAAACCAAAAGTCTGTTAGGTAAAGATCAACTAAAGTGAGAGCCGTGCATCTATCAGTTGTAATAGCAGGAGGATGCAGAAGCTGTGGTTTAACAGCGTATCCTGTAGTCAACCATTTCATAATCTTTATTTAATTCTTTTTGTGTGTGTGTAGCTTAATTGCAACTATGGATGGATGGATTTTAATTTATTTGGTATAATAATGAGTGTAAAGTAATTCTACTCATTAGTTTGTCAGTTTTAAAACAACAGTCATTATCTTTTATACCATTATTATTTGTTACCTAATGTATTGTTGGCATTGTGAGAAACAGAAAACTGAGTTAAATTGTTTCAGCAATGAAATTTGCATATAAGCTGAGTCAGAAATAAGTGTTATATAAATGCATGTTTGTTGATTGTATGTAAGGAATTAAAATAAGTCTGTATATACTTTTACACCAACCATAAGTATTTAAATGTAGTTGATAAACTACTTTGATATTCTGGTAAAATACAGTGTAGTCATGACTACAGGAATGAAGGTTTTATCCAGTGCCATGTGTATACTGATTTTTGTGACAAGGACATAAAGTTAACAGTTTTGCCTAACACATGAAGGTGACTATAAATGTAACATACATAAAGAAAGGTGATTCTTCTAACTTAAATGTATATGTTTTAAATATAGTTTAAAATCTAACATCTTCATTACCCATTGAAGCCATCTCCAAGCATTATCTAACAGTAAAACTTAATAAAAATCATACTTCTTCTCTCAAAATATTAATTCATTGTCAAATAGTTATTGCTACATATAAAATATTGGCTGAAAGTGTAACATTATTTATTTAAATTTTTTTATATGGAAAAAGTCAGTTGTATTGCTACAAGAGTATATATATATATATATTATATGTATACAACAATAAAGTTATAAATCATGGGAATGTTTAGAATTTGTTATGTACACAGACATGTATCAAATAGGCTTTACTATTCAAGTTCTGTACCACCGATAACTCTTTCAATAGCTAGATTTCATGGTAACTTTGTGAATTTTTTGTAGGTGTCCATTTGGTGCTGTTTTTGTGTTGATAGAATGACTTCCTTTGTAATGACAAGAAAGTTTTGTAGTGTGATCTGAATTTTGCAGTAAAAGCATGTTTTGAAGCTATGTAGCATATAAACAAGCTGCTCCCCTCAAAAACAACAACAAAAAACAGTATGTTCTTACTGCAATGATTACAAATTATACATGTGAACTTGTATAAAGTTTTAAAAAGCATCGTCGTATGTAGAAAAAACATCATTTACTTACACTGCTATGATTTCCATAACTTATACTGTGGTGTCACATCTTTCTATAGACTTAGTAAGGTATTAGTGTAACTGTTGTATAAAAACTGTAGAAATGATACATGGAATTCAAAAGATAATTATGTACAGAATATCAACAAACCAGAGTTTAGTGTAAAGTGGCTATAACAAATGAAATGTGTTATTAAATTTGCGTTTGTATTTATTTAAGTATGTAATAAAGATTTATCTCAAATTTAATGATTTTTATGTATATACATATAACTTGTTAAGCCAGTCTTCCAAAACAGGGAGAAGTGGCATCTTTTTCTATGTGCCAACATTTTATGTTATTATGGGTACAAATATAACAACATCATGACGTTTTTTATATGTTTTACCCTGATTATTTGCTATCTTTCTTTATTGAGTTATATATTGGAAAACTCTTTATGTAGATTATCAATGTTTAATGATGTCCTGGAGTTGTTTAACTGTTACAGTTACCTCTACATCTATAGAAAGAATGCATTCAGGAAAATTCAACTCAAAGTTCTTATGTTGCATGTCTTTGGAAGTGTTCCAGCAACCTTATGAATGTGAGAAAAAAATGTTTTCCCAAACCACGGACACTACAGTTTCTGTTATGTACCTTTGCCACAATTCTAACATCCTCAGAAATGTGAGATAGGAAAAGCCTTCACAGCCAACCAATCAATACCACAATTCTGACAATATTCTGTTTTTAAAAAATAGATACTTCACAAATTAATAAAGGAAATATTGTTTATTTAGGATTATTTCCGTTACATGTATATGTTTTTGTGTGTGTTTATATGTATGTACACACACACACATATGCAATTTGAATCATTAAATAAGTTTTTTTACACTGAATCAATAAAATCTGTCTTTATTCAAATATAAAATCATTTTCAAAATTCACTTCATTTTTCCTTCTTTGTTATATTTTTTATTTACCAGTGTGGCAGTGGTAAACCAGAGTACAAATACAAGGTTACAAAAGGAAAACCACTTAAGTAAGCATTCAAACTCATATTAAGTTCATCTTCAGTGATACTATGATTAGTAAATACAGACAATTTATACTCCTCAAAAGGGAAATGACAAGTAGGGACATCTGTGAGATAAAAGTAGTTTTTTAGCACTTTTCATTTCAGTTTGGTTTAAGTATGGTTTTGAACTCTGTATGTTTATTTAACTGGTTTTTAAATTTGTAAAATTCATTAATAAAAACAAAATTTAGCTGAGGTTGGTTTAAAAGCAAAAGGGAGGGAGTAGAAATATGCATATTAGTATATGAGTGGAATAATCATGTTAAATTTATTTCTCTACAGGTATTGTATAAGTCCCGTAATAGTGGATTTGACCAGGAAATATGTAGAGTAATGTGTTTAATAACTTGCCTGAGCTTTTTGGTGTATGTGATATAAGAAGCCTGGACAAGTGTAAAGAAGTGAAGAATTTTATTTCTATTAACAAACAAAAAGAAATCACAATGTGAATACTTGTACACAAAGGATCACATTTAATACTTCTACCAGGCTGTTGCACAGCTTTCACTCTCTCAGGACTGATCTTTATAGAACTAAAACACAAATTCAAATACTCAACAGTATTCTACTGGAATTGAACCAAGAAATCAAGCTTGAATTTATTTCTACCAGTAAACTTGGTCTCTTACTTCTGTTGACAGTGTCACCCCATAACGTTTTGTTTTCTTGTAGCATTGGTAATCCTTTCAACATTGAGAATGTGTTAGTATGATATCTTCTTGGGCAGAACAGACCTTATCTGTTGTAGAGAAAACATGGTAACTTAAACGATTATCTGGAACACATTTATTATAAAACTGCATGGAAACTAAGTGAAAAAATTTAAACTTCATACATTACTAAAGCAGGTAAAAACATATGGCTGCATGTCACTTATGTAACTTGAACTGTAGAATTTTGGTTAAGAATATAGCTAAGTTTCTTTCACTTTAGTTCATTATTGTTCTTAGTTATTTGCTTATGGTATTGCATGCACTTTCTTATCGTAAAGATTTCTGCAAAGTTGAAGATATTAGGTCGTTAAGAAATTAATGTTGCTTTTTTTAGATGAAAAAACTCAAACAGTTTACATATCAAAGCAAACATTTATTAAA